GCAGTGTAGAGGCAGCCTGAGTCTTATAGCAAGTGTGTGTGTGTGTACTGTACTGTATTTCCAGGGATAAAACAGGACAAGGCAGTATGCTGGTGCTTGCTGCCTGATTGCTCTCACTGTAGGCAAAAATTTCTAAAGTTTAGACTTTGAACCACCATTAACTATTCATTTGTTGTTTGGTAACTATAATGTCCAAAGCCAACAAGAGTTGGCAGTCTTGTTTGTTGGGGTAGAGAGAACCTGGAGTGTTGGGTCCTGCCAAATTGAAGCAGCATGCTAAACATACCATGGCTGCAATCCTGCATGGATCAGCAAAGCGTAATAGTTTGACATGTGGAACTATACTGAGCTTACCAGTCCATGGATTTACCATAGAGCTGTTGAAATGCCTGATGGCCATTCCATGTCTGTGGAAAGCTGGGGGTGATTATGGAAACATTTGGCTGTGTTCCTGTAGCCAGATGTGAAGCAATTACATCATCCGCTGAGATCTGCCAGGGCCCTCTAGAGGTCTAAGCAGAATCATTTTACATCTGGCTACAGATACATACCCAAATACTACTGCACCTCCCCATACACATACTCTCCACCAGAGATGAAATGGTCATGGGGTAGTTCAGTGGCTCTGTAGTAGATCTAGGGAGGTTCATCACTGCAGTGAGAGGAAGGGAGTATCAACCTCTGCAGCAACCAAAAAGAGGCACACAGAGATATAAGGTTAACGTGCACCTGTGTATGCTACTAACAGGATGCCAGCCCTCTTATGAAAAATCTGTTGTTACTTTTGCTTCTTCAGCTTACAGCAGGGTCAATTGTCCAGCTTTGTGCAGGTATGCTGGTTTATCCACAGCAAGCCAAAATTAATTCAAATAATTGCTTTCGTGGTCATTGAGACACCTGTAGGACTGCAGGTTCAGAGACTTTAACTCACTGTCTTTGACTAATGCAGTTTGCAGCCTATGTTCTAACTATGGCTTTTCATTTTTTCACCTTTACAAATTGTTATGTGCCTTCAAGTGTTTCTGTCTTATGGCGACACTAAGGCTACCCTATCACAGGGTTTTCTTGGCAAGATTTATTCAAAGGAAGGTTGGATTTGCCTTCTTTGGAGGTTGAGAGAATGTGACTTGACCAAGGTCACTCAGTGGATTTCCTGTCTGAGCAGGGTCAAACCACTGCACCACGCATGGTCTCAGATGCAGCTGGTTGTTATTGTTGTTGTTGTTATTGTGTGCCTTATGTGTTTCCAACATGACAACCCTAAGGTTCCATATCATGAGGTTTTCTGGGATGAGAGTATGCGACTCACTCAAAGTCACCCACTGGGTTTCCATGGCTGAGCGGGAAATCAAACCTTAATCTCCAGAATTGTAGTCCAACGCTCAAACCATTACACCGTGCTGACTCCCTAGATACAGCTGAAGTAGATCTTTAAAATATTGCAAAATATTGTATTTCTTTGACAGTTCTGGCACTACTTGCTGTCCTTTCTCTCTAGCTTGTGAACCAGCTTTTCATTTACTAAGTAATTAACATACACATGACTTAACTACTGCTGAATGTCATGTGCAGATTAATTTTTAAATAACCTTTTTAGAAAAGGAAATGGCTTATTCAAAGAATATTCTGTAATGTGAGCACAAGCTCTTATTAGAGAGCAGATGAGCATTTTTAACCTCTGAGAAACGCATGGTATTGCCAACTAACTTGCAGATAAACTGGGCAATTACTGTAATGCCTCATTTCTGAAAATGTTGCACAAGCCTTCTCATTTCTTTTACTGTTTTCCAATACACAGTTGAGAATACTTGTATCCTTTTTCCTCCACTTGACAAAATGTTTGAATTGTGACAAGTTCAAGCCATCCAATTTGAAACTAGCAATTTCTTAAGATATTATTATACAATTAGATAGGGTGGGAAGAATTTGGACTTGTGGGATCTAGGGTCCGTCCCCCCGCAAAAAAAAAAATCCCACCGTCTATGAACTGGAGCTGGTGCAAAAAGGCATACACATAGAATTAAGGAATTCCAAATCAAGGAATTTGTTTTGTGTCCCAAAACCAGGGGTTGGAAGAGCCGCTCTTTTTTCGACTCCAGCTCCAAAAATCCCTGCAGCTAGTTGCTTCCGCAGAGAAGGTAACTTTTCCAAGCTGTGAAAATGCTCTAATCTTTCCAGGCAAAAATGCTCACTCCCCCATTTGAGACTGTTAATTGAAACTGGAAATGTATCCACACTGCAGAACTAAAGTAGCTTGACACCACTTTTAACTGTTGTGGCTCCATCCTGTGGAACCCTGGGATTTATAGTTTGATGAGGTATTCAGCCCGAGAGTCATGGCAGTTCAAGTGGCATTAGACTGCTTTATTTCTGTGGTGCGGATACACCCTTGGACTAGTCAATTTGGAGGCAGAAATTAATGCTGGTCTATTTTAAATCACCATAGGATCTACCAGATCTACTTTCTACCCACTCCACCCTAACCTAGTTATGAAAGCATGCGTGCCATACAAGGGTTTTCCAGGGAAGTAGGGCAATGTTTAATTTTCAGAAAGAGACCTTTAGGCGACTCAGGCTCATGGGGAGCAATGCCATCTGTGTTCTTAGCTCTCTTCCTTGACACAGTGGGAGAGGTCAGCTAACATTGGCTGGAGGAACGGAGAAGGTCACTCTGCCTGTGTTCAGGACTCTGTTTTACTATTTGACCGATGGCAAGTAGAAATAATATTTGTCTGCTGAGCCTGGTCAGAATTTGTGGACCCATGTTTTTTCTCTGTTCATTTAAAAAAAGACATCTTTCATAGGCCTATGTGCAAGCCCTAATCAAGCTGACAAAACTCATTTGCTGAGAAGCTAGAAAGAGGGTTGTGTGTGAAAAATTCAGAAGAAATGCCTGTTTTTTTCCAAAGCCATTTTCTTTCTGGAAAAAGTAAAACTAGATTATGGGGAAATTGTTTTTTAAAATGATCAATCAAATCAATCAGTGGACTGATTTACTCTCAAAAATTATTTCTAAAAACTATATAGCAGGTAGACAGGTAGGTAAGAATATGTATAGTATCTCACAGCACTGCAGTTGATCGTGATTTCCTTTTCTCGGTTCTTTTTAAAGGAATGAGGGCTTTATGTCTCCTTGGCTCAATGGAGGATTGTGTGTGTAAGAGCCTTCAAGTTGCCTGCCTACTTATGATGACCCCATGAATTTCATAGGGTTAAAGGTAAAGGTATTTCCCGTTGACAAGGTTGTCAAGTCGTGTCTGACCATAGGGGCGGTGCTCGTCTCTGTTACAAAGAGCCATGTGTTGTCACAGACTATTCTGTGATCATGTGGCTAGCATGATTGCACAGAATGCTGAAGTGGTTCCTATCTATCTACTTGCATTTGCATGCTTTTGAACTGCTAGTTTGGCAGAAGCTGGGACTAGTGACAGGAGCTCACCCCACCATGCAGCACCTGGGCCTTGAAATGTCAACCTGCCGATCTTGCAATTAACAGAGTCAGCGTCTTAATCACTTGAGCACTGCACTCACTCATAGGGGTTAGAGGAGATAAAATGTTCTCCTTTGCTTTATTAATATTGACAGTTTCCTCCTCCTCCTCCTCCTCCTCCTCCTCCTCCTCCTCCAGTTGTTCCTTAACAGTTGAGGGGCTTGTAAGTTTACTTTAACAAAAAATAGAATTTAAAAAAGGAAAATCAATCTTCTGAATAAATTGCCTTTTAAGAAATAAATGATGATAATTTTATGCCAAGCCAAGTTATGTGAAATGTACCTTATGTTCTTAAAATAACAAGGCAACTTTGAATTTATAAAGATCAGGGGTAGGCAACCTTTCCCCTTTAAGGGCCAAGGGACTTCATCTCCCAGAAGCCTCAGCCATGTTGGCCAATAGTCCCATGTTGGCCAATAGCTCCTGGGATTCTGGGAGATGAAGTCCCTCGGCCCTTAAACCCCTGATAAAGATTGTTAATACTGCATTTTGACATGCTTCCTGAAAATGTCTGAGGGGTTGTTTTTTGGTTGTTGTTTTTTTAAAAGAGAGGGAAACAGATTTTATTCCAAGTTCACAAAAAATCTGCAGATGAGGAATAATTAATAATAATAAAATTTATTTATATCCCGCCCCTTTGAGATCAATCGGGGCGGCTAATAACAATAAAATATAACATACAAAAGTAAAATCTGAATCCCTCCCCCCATTAAAAAGTTATTAAATCCGTTACAAAATTAAAACATACAATATAAAACAAGAATAATGTAAAAACATCTCACAATGTGGCTGTGGTTTAGGTATTTAAACTAAGAACGTAGAAGCCCTCTTGCAGGAGGGATTCCTGAGGCCGGGATTATCTGTCACAGAAATAATAATAATAATAATAATAATAATAATAACTTTTATTTATATCCC